CCCAGAAGGATCGCAATCTTCATAATGGGAAGGGATGGGACAATTGCTGACATAGTGTCGCATAAGGCAAGAGGACATGATCTTTGCGGTATAACAACGGGCCGAAACCGGCCTAAGTGTGTCGGGTTCCTGGCGATCCCGACAGCCGCCTCAACCTAACCTAACCTAACCTATGTATCACATCCAAAAGGAATCGTGTCGGACCCTATAAAAAAGGTATATAAATTCTTGACCAGCATTAATAGGCTTGCACGAGTACACACAAAGTCGAGTAAATAGTCAGCAATCCTACTTTGCACACTGTTCATGCACATGAACAGGATCCAACAGCAGACAACGCACACAAAATACAGTCCACTTGAAGGAGTCCTACAAACCCGCAGCTATCTCCACTCTATCGGATCGCGGGCAAGATTTTCATAAGCATGAATAGGAACGACACAGGGCACCCCATAAATAATACAGTCCACTTGAAGGAGGCCATTTTAGAAAAGGAAACCTAAATCTAGGATCGGTTCGACCATATAGATGTGTCGGGTCAAAGACGAATCTGTCGACACACTTGTCGCACAGTCACACACACTTGTCACTATCTAGTTTCCTTTATATAGTGCAGTGCTCGGCACGCATACAGTGACACGTTTTAAAGTGCGCTTGTGTGTTTAGCAAAAACACGAAGATGCCTGCGACCGACAAACGATTTGTAGTACAATTTGCAATTATTTCGTGCTGATACTGTCGTGTGAAATAAAAATTGAAATAAAATAATAACAGGCAACATAATAACATATGACGCATTGCGCATCGCCATCCATATTTTGGATGAAGAAAAAGTTTTGTTCCCAATTTTCATTAAACATGTTTTCTCTCAGTGTCGCATCATTTAGTTACGCAGCGTGGTCTTGCATTTTTCGACGGCTGAACACAACTGATTTCATTTTCGTTCTCGCTTTGTAAAAAACGCGAGACAGCAAGAGCCGAAGTCTTATTGCCGAAGCCACACGAAGACTTGCTGCTTTTTGATACTGTACGTGTACAGGCAGCGCAGCAGCAACACCTTTTCCTATGCTCATTAGATAGGGCCATGCCGAGCCCTGATATAGTGCATAAGTTTTGTGAACAAAACAGTTCGAATTTACAACTCGTCTCAGTAACATCAACACACACTCATGAAGACTTTTATGTGTCAATATCAGAAGGTTATGTAAGCCACCAATCCTTAAAAATGTCCAAAGAATTCTAAAGAAACGATATTTTTAGTAAATCAAACATTGTATATCTCGCCAAGTGTGTTTGATTGTGATTTAAAATTTTGGAACCATATAAATATCTATGCTCAAAAAAAAATACATAAGTATAATGGACCGCGATTTGTAAAGAAATTTTGCACATAAACTATTTGGCGGTCGGACATAGTTCCTTTTTAATGTAATTTTAGAGTATTATTTTTTCCCATACAAACATCGTTTTCATCGTTCAAACAAAGAGCAACATCGGTTTTGAAAAAATGTCAAGATTTACAAACTTTTAGTATATGAGTTATAACATTGAAGTTCAAGTTTGTCGAAAGATGTTGATTTTGTAATCATGGGAAGTTGCACGGGTTGTAAAACGTCTCTTTCGCACCTGTTACATCGCCGTTAAACTCCTCCATACCATCCTTGTCATCGTTCAAACAAAAATAATCTCGCTTTATCGAAAGCACGGTTCTACCTGTGGGATATTTTGCAGAAGAGGTTGCCGAGTGGCAACATAAAATTTATAAGTCTGATCGACTATATCATGATAGAACATGTAGTCGAAAAGAAAATTTCGCGGACGTTTTCCATGGGAAACGGATGCAATACATCAGATCCAACTAAGAAGTTATATATTTTATTAAGCGAGCTCAATAATTCAGACAGAGATTAACCGGTTCATTAGCTGGCTGAATTCGAATTGATCGAATTTCCGTGGATGCTGCAGCTCGAAAACGAACTTTATAAGGATTAACAAAGGTTGTGATAGAAAAATCTACCTGATATAATCATTTTTGACTGTTGTGCCTTATTTTTAAAGCGTGCCCGACCTTTCGAATAAAATACAATTTTCTCATAATGCTACCAAGATGTTTGTTTTTATACCCGTACTCAAAAAAGAGTTAAGGGGTATATTAGATTTGTGGTAAAAGTGGATGTGTGTAACGCAGAGAAGGAAACGTTTCCGACCCCATAAAGTATATATATTCTTGATCAGCATCAATAGCCGAGTCGATAGAGCCATGTCGGTCTGTCCGTCTGTCCGTCTGTCCGTCTGTCTGTCTGTCTGTCTGTCCGTCTTGTTGAGCGCCTAGATCTCAGAGACTATAAGAGCTAGGGCAACCAAATTTGGTTTCCACACTCATGTGATATCACACTGCTACAAGTGTATTTCAAAATTTCGCCCCGCCCCCTTCCGCCCCTGCAAAGGACGAAAATCTGTGGCAGGCACATTTTTAAAGATACGATAAAACAAAAAACACAGTATCGTAGAGAATGCCCATATCTACCAGATTGCCGAATCTAAATCAGATCGGATCATAATTATAGCCAGAATGAAGAAATTAATTTTCAGTTGCTTCCCCTGTCCACCCACCCGACGACGACAACACAACTCATTTTCCTTCTCGCTCGCACACTCTGCCGCGTTCAGTGCGCGAGCAACCCCTAGCGGAGGAGATGTAGAATCTAAATGGAACATGTACATTGTACAATCTACATGTTTGATGTATAATATACATTGTAGATGTAGATATCAGATGTAGCAAAAAAATGTAAAATGTAAAATTTTTTTTTTTTTAATTCTAAAAAATCATAAGATCAAAAATGTATATACTGACTGAGTACGGGTATAAGTAGAGTCGCGTCCCCAGAAGCGACTCGCACGTTCCTTCTCGTTTTTTTTCATTTTGAGAAAAAAATAAATAAATATGTGATTTTTTATTAAGAAAAGAAGTTGCCACGACCATTTTTCAAAATAAACTCATCTTGCTATTGTAAACTCATATAAAAAACTAAACAAAAAATATGGTTTCGCTTGGATTATTAACAATTAATTATTATTATTATTTATTGTCACAAAAAGTGGTCAAAGTTCCCATAGTGCAGTGGTGGCGAAAATTTGTGTCCTTTTTATACCCGTACTTAAAAAGAGTTAAGAGGTATATTAGACTTGTGGTAAAAGTGGATGTGTGCAACCACTAACCATACAGTATATAGATGTGCCAGTTCATACAACGGATGTGTCACAGCTGAGTATCCTGTCCCAGGTCCCCAGGTCTTCGGCTGGTGGACCTGAGACACTCGGCATTTTTTCGACATGTTCGATTCATGACGAGATGCGAAAGCAAGCCGAGAATTGCAAATGTATGTGTGTACACAGGCACGACAAAATATTTATCAATTCGAAACCGTTTTAAGTTTGTTTTGAGTTTCGTTTCCAGGCTACGTAAATGTGTGTGTGCCATGTATTCACACATACTTGTGCTTGTGTGTGGGCTCTACAATTTTTTGCCGCTTGAACTGAATTTCGGTTTTTCGTTTTGTTTTGAAAAGCTGATGTTGCAAAGGGCGCGCGGGGTATTTCTTCCATTCTCCTTTAGGCTAGACTTTGCCTCTGCTTTCGGCTTCGTCAATGCCTCGACCCGCGTCGAGTCGAGCAACAGAATACACCAACAAAATATGAAGTCTGACGACGGGAATTGGTCCATGGCCGTATTAGCAGTTGCCTAGGGCCCTCTTTAGGACTAACAGAAAAATTTGTTGAAAAAACAAAACTCCAAATAATGGAAAAAATAGAATAGCCACTGATAAACATACAAATTAATCAAACAAACATAAAATTTATAAGTTTTTATTTCAAATGAAAAAATAAGGGAGCTGGCGAGAAAATATGGAGGGCCCCAGATTGATGGTTGCCCAGGGCCCGGTTGAAGGTTGATCTGCCCCTGAATAGGTCGATTTTGGTTTTAAACTTTAAAATTTAATGTTGTTATTTGTTGATATTTACAATGGGGACTCAGCCGAAATGAGGTGGCAAAATTATAAAATATTTTATGAACGCTTTGAATAAAATAAATGTCCACATCTAGTAGAACATTTTCCAGAGCTTTAGCGAATCTAATTATCAAGATAATACTAGTTTAGGAGATATGAGCAGAGATAACATCCAGACCCACGCGCTTCGCTGCTTACTAAATGAATTTAATGTTTAGGAATTCATCGAAATTAAAAAATGATAATTTTTATGTAATGACATATTTTATTTATTGCAATGCTTTGTGATAAACAATATTCTTTGTTTTGCCGTCGGTACAATGAATAATTAATGCCGAAGGTTTGCCTACTTGTGAGCACGCTGCATACAGTTGACCATGTGAAAATACCGGATGCTCCAAATTTAAACCACAAATTTGCAACGACTGTCCTTGTGATTTATTAATAATCATAACAAAAGCAAGACGAATCGGAAATTGTAGTCGTTTGAAATCAAATGGCATGTCAGTCGGAATCATCGGAATTCTCGAAATTAAAACGTGTTCACCACAAAATTTCCCAGTTAAAATAGTTGCTTCAAGTAAATTAGTCATAACTTTTTTCACAGCAAGTCTTGTACCATTGCAAAGTCGTGGTGGATTAAGATTCCGCAGCATAATTATGGTGGCTTCAACTTTTACTTGTAAATAGTATGGCGGGAATCAAGGTAAGTCCAATGAATTTAGAAATTCGACTGGATAATTTACAACATCATCTTGATTGATAATTGTATCAACCGACCTATACGCAACCATTTCTCCTGGGATGGTATTCAAAAGAGATGCGTTGATCTCATTGACATCTTTATTTGTTCCGGCCAAAATTGCTCTCCCCCAAAGGGGGCTGTCAACGGGAAGGATGCCATTACCAATGTCTAACAGTTGTCTGGAAAACAAATCTACTGAAGCATCGTTTTGCAATTGAACACGTACATTTGTAGTCAATCTGAGTGTTTTCACAGAGCACCACAAATTAGATGTTTTCAAACACGCATTAATTTCATCAGCAGAAGTTCCTAGTTTGACTACAGGCAATGTTTGTCTGAAATCACCTGCTAACAATATCAATGCACCACCAAACAATCGATTATCTCCACGAATATCTTTCAACGTACGATTAAGTGCTTCCAGTGACTTCTTGTTGGCCATAGTACACTCATCCCATACAATAAGAGAGCATTGCTGCAGCACTCTCGCCATTGCAGATCTTTTTGAAATGTTGCATGTAGGATTATCGTCAGCCTTCATATTCAAGGGCAACTTAAGGGCAGACTGCGCCGTGCGACCACCATCCAATAATGTGGCAGCGATGCCAGACGAAGCCAAAGCCAATGCGATTCTACCTTGTGCTCGAATGGTAGCCAAACTAATCGAAATGACAAACGTTTTTCCGGTACCTCCAGCTGCATCGAAAAAGAACAGTCCACCATGTTGTTCTTCGATAGCTCGCAATTTTTGGTCGTAAACCGTTCTTTGGTTGATATTTAACCGTGGCTCATTGTTTCGCACAAACTGCTGTTCACGCTCCAGGTCTTTGTTGAAAAGGTCGTGTATATCACGATTAGGCGCTGTCATACCTAATTGAGCTAATGCTTTGCTTGCCATCATCAAGCAAAGGTCTTCAATAGCAATCAATGCTTCGTTGTAAATTTCCGGCGTATAGTCCATGTTTATATCACCCGTTTGACGGCGCAATCGATGTAAAAAGTCCTCTGACAAATGATTTTGATGTTTTTGCCACAATTCAATTGGCACGTGGCTATAATAATTGCGAAAAGTGTCCGAATTTGATGTGGACTTGATGACAATGCTGCATCTTCAAGTGTAAGATCCCAATGCATGTCATTCTCAAGCATATTCAATCGTTCGCATGCTTCGCATCAACAGTTCGCAAAGATTCAAGTGATGTTGATCCACCAACATTTATTAGCAACAATCGCAAATAATAACACTCTTGATTGTTAGCATGAACTGTATAAATTCGTCCTATCGCATCTGAGTGAAACAATACTGGCTGACCATGAACGGCTTTTCCGCGTCTTCGAATTTGAGAAACTTTTCAGGAATTATTCCACGTATAATATTCGGGTATTTCGGAGAATAGCAATGTTTTCGCAAAATCATCTGCTTGACACAACGAAATCGAGAAGGAACGTGCGAATCGCTTCTGGGGACGCGACTCTACTTATACCCGTACTCACTCAGTATATACATTTTTGAGCATATGATTTTTTAGAATTTTAGAATTAAAAAAAAAAGACTACATTTTAAATTTTTTTTCTACATCTGTTATCTACATCTACATATATTATGTATATTCTACATCTAACATGTAGATTATACATGTACCATTAAGATTCTACATCTCCTCCACTAGGGGTTGCTCGCGCACTGAACGTGTGAAAGTGTGAGAGCGAGAAGGAAAATGAGTTGCGCGGTCGTTGGCAGGATGGGGCAGGGGAAGCAACTGAAAACTAATTTCTTCATTCTGGCTATAATTATGATCCGATCTGATTCAGATTCGGCAGTCTGGTAGATATGGTCATTCTCTACAATAATGCGTTTTTAGTTTTATCGTATCTTTAAAATTGTGCCTGCCACAGATTTTCGTTTTTTGTGGTGGCGGAAGGGGGCGGGGCGAAATTTTGAAATTCACTTGTAGCAGTGGGATATCACATGAGTCTGGAAACCAAATTTGGTTGACATAGCTCTTATAGTCTCTGAGATCTAGGTGCTCATCGAGACAGACAGACAGACAGACATGGCTATATCGACTCGGCTATTGATGATGATCAAGAATATATATACTTTATGGGGTCGGAAACGTTTCCTTCTCTGCGTTACACACATCCACTTTTACCACAAATATAATATACCCCTTAATTCTTTTTTGAGTACGGGTATAAAAATGCAGTTAGAGTTGTTGCTGGTGGTTGCGCAGCTCTTCGCATTGCATTTCCGGGTGTGAAAAAAACGCGTTGACCGTTTTCAAGATGAACAGCTAAATGAACGACAGTTGGATGCCTATCATGGATCGGGAATGATAATATGCGCCATACTGTTTCATTTGAACTGATGTATCTGCCCATTTGAAATTGAGTGATTTCATCGGTAACATTAGCAACTGCTTCAAAAGCAGCCATATCAATGCCCTTGTTGATGTATTTGCAAATGTATCTAATAGATTGAACTGAATTGCAGACCTCTACGTTTATGTGCGCCTTATAAATCTTAGATAATAACGGTGAAAATGGCACAATCAATCTCCAAATCTTGATTTTTAACTCTCAAAGTTACCGAATGGCCATTATCTTCAGTTGATCGACGCCGATATTCGGGATATCCATCGTTGCCCGTCACTGTATCGGAGATCAAGTTTTTTGGAAAACGTTTGGAGCATTTCCCTTCAACCATTCAGGGTGAATTCAAATTCAACGCACCACATGGACCGTGAATCATATTTTTGGTGACCACTTCAAACAATTCAGCATCCACTGGCGGATCTGGAATTTCTGCCGAAATCACATCGTCTATTTGATTCGGCCTTATTTTTTCAATCAGTCAAATTAAAATATGCGCATGAGGCAAACCTCGTTTCTGCCATTCAATTGAATACATCCAACATTGAACAGACCCAAATGCACCGTGTTTGACAATTAAATCCATGAGTGATTTCAATTTTTGTCTAAAAACACGTGCTAAAATATTATGGCTATCTTTCGATGTTTGGCCAACAAGCAATAATTCCGAGATTTCTTCCCATTGCGGATTACACGTGAAGGTGATGAAGAGGTCTGGTCGACCGTAACGGCGAACGTATCACATCGCATCTTGCGCGTACTCAAACATATGACGTGGACTTCCAACATACGATGACGGATATATTATCATAGTTCCAACGTTTTGTGCATTACCAATCGTTGTTAATGGCATCACGCAAATGAACATACTCTTCGGAACGTAATTTGGCTTGGTTGAATCGAAGAAAATTTAACCGTTCCGATTCAATTTTTGCATACATGTCAACAATATGCTGGTGGAAAAGTGCTCTACACCTCAATATGTGGTTGTCTTGATTTTGCTGTATCTGCAGCCTGTATGCGTAATAATTCATAGCACTAACTTTCTTTGTTCCTTCTCGACCGTTTACTGGATTTATCGTTTTAGTGTTGAAATTATAGCCATCTTGTCCGCTCCAAAACAATATGGGATATTGTAGTGCATCATAACAGCGATGAGTCTCGGATACACGTTCAAGTTGTTCATTTCTACGATGAAGCACAATATCACGATTATTAAATTGCTCACCAACAATGACTATTGCCACTTCGTCAACTGTTTGTGCATTGAAACGCCTTGCATGTTCGCCAACCGGTGTTTTATCAGCTCGATAACAATTTTATGATCGTCAGATGGCATTCGATCAAGCGATGTTTTGAAAACCTGAACCAATTCGTTGTACTCATGGAACATATTTTGCAAATCGAAAATAATGTGTCTCCGCGTGCTGGTAATAATGGCACACCGACGATCAGCTTCGTCTTCCGCGTTCCCGATAAAATATAATTGCAAAAATTGGTGGTCTGCGTTGTCGAAAGGTAACAAAGAGCCAGCTCGATGGTATATTAATAAAATATATGATAGAATGAGAACAAACGTACAATTTGCATAAACAAAAATATTTAATTACATTGAACGTTGGCATGAAGTTGTCTCTTAAAATAATTTTGGCGCCAAAAGATGTCATTTCAAAACTCGAATTATACTTTCGTATATTGTTCAAATATGATTAAGTATTAAGTAAGCATTAAGCATTAAGTAATGTGCTCAATGGTTGTGGTGGGCTGCCTAATTCAGGCAATGACACAAAATGAAATGAAGTAGGCGTTCAAACACACATTTTTACACCAAATTTGAGTTTTTTTTTTTGATTAATTTTTAATTTTTGTGGAACCTATTTATAGAAAAGTGAAAACTTTTGTAAAGAAAGAATGCCGCATACTCTGGCTATAATTTAAAATGAAATGAAATAGGCGTTCAAACACACACTTTGGGACCAAATTTAAGATTTTTGATTCATTTTTAATTCTTTGAGGAACCTATTTATAGAAAAGTACAAATTCGTTTGTGCAAACTAGGTCGCATTCTCTGGCTATCATTTAAAAAAACAGCATGCAATTTGGTGCAAGCGTTGCGGAGATAGCCGCTTAAACACAGATTTTTTTCTACAAATTTATGGGATAGATTTATTTCCCACCCACTCTGCCCATTCCTCAGTTATATTGCGGCAGGTCACCACAGGTCGCTACATCACATCAACCCTCAAAACAAAACGAAAAACCAATTCAAGCGGCCAAAAATTGTAGAGTCCACACACAAGCACAGTATGTGTGAATACATGGCACACACATTGATCAGGTACTGGTGTGTGACTTGTTGTCTAGTTTTCCAGGAAAGTACGCTTGATGAGACGAAAACTATATATCCAGATTTTGTGTTGGGTGATAGGCATCCAACTGTCGTTCATTTAGCTGTTCATCTTGAAAACGGTCAACGCGTTTTTTTCACACCCGGAAATGCAATGCGAAGAGCTGCGCAACCACCAGCAACAACTCTAACTGCATTTTTATACCCGTACTCAAAAAAGAGTTAAGGGGTATATTAGATTTGTGGTAAAAGTGGATGTGTGTAACGCAGAGAAGGAAACGTTTCCGACCCCATAAAGTATATATATTCTTGATCAGCATCAATAGCCGAGTCGATATAGCCATGTCTGTCTGTCTGTCTGTCTGTCTGTCTGTCTCGATGAGCGCCTAGATCTTAGAGACTATAAGAGCTAGGGCAACCAAATTTGGTTTCCAGACTCATGTGATATCCCACTGCTACAACTGTATTTCAAAATTTCGCCCCGCCCCCTTCCGCCACCACAAAAAACGAAAATCTGTGGCAGGCACAATTTTAAAGATACGATAAAACTAAAAACGCATTATTGTAGAGAATGACCAAAACTGCCGAATCTGAATCAGATCGGATCATAATTATAGCCAGAATGAAGAAATTAGTTTTCAGTTGCTTCCCCTGCCCCATCCTGCCAACGACCACGCAACTCATTTTCCTTCTCGCTCGCACACTTTGCCGCGTTCAGTGCGCGAGCAACCCCTAGTGGAGGAGATGTAGAATCTTAATGGTACATGTATAATCTACATGTTAGATGTAGAATATACATAATATATGTAGATGTAGATAACAGATGTAGCAAACAAATTTAAAATGTAAAATCTTTTTTTTTTTAATTCTAAAATTCTAAAAAATCATATGCTCAAAAATGTATATACTGACTGAGTACGGGTATAAGTAGAGTTGCGTCCCCAGAAGCGATTCAAGCAGATGATTTTGCGAAAACATTGCTATTCTCCGAAATACCCGAATATTATACGTGGAATAATTCCTGAAAAGTTTCTCAAATTCGAAGACGCGGAAAAGCCGTTCATGGTCAGCCAGTATTGTTTCACTCAGATGCGATAGGACGAATTTATACAGTTCATGCTAACAATCAAGAGTGTTATTATTTGCGATTGTTGCTAATAAATGTTGGTGGATCAACATCACTTGAATCTTTGCGAACTGTTGATGAAGAATTGTGTGGGACGTATCGCGAAGCATGCGAACGATTGAATATGCTTGAGAATGACATGCATTGGGATCTTACACTTGAAGATGCAGCATTGTCATCAAGTCCACATCAAATTCGGACACTTTTCGCAATTATTATAGCCACGTGCCAATTGAATTGTGGCAAAAACATCAAAATCATTTGTCAGAGGACTTTTTACATCGATTGCGCCGTCAAACGGGTG